ATGACTCGAGGAACCCAGAGTGGTATGAGACCTGGAACGAGACAGACACAGGCAAGTACAAAAGTCCATCCATCCATCCATTTTCTTTACCCGTTTATTCCATTTTGGGTCACGGGGGTCGCTGGTGCCCATGTCCAGCAATCACTGTGCGAGGGGCGGGGTACACCCTGGACAGGTCGCAAGTCCATCACAGGGCCAAGTACAAAAGTGACAGTGTTTATTATTTACAGTGGTAAATGTACATTAGCTTCTCTGCAGCTCCTGGAAGAGGAGGGAGATGGTCAGAGGTGGTCGACAGATGGTCAGGCAATATTAATGTGATGATGTTTGATCTCTTACAGATTTGAAGATCTCCTTGGGGTCCACTCCAAAAACTTAGAAGAGCTCCAGAGGGGGACAAGGCCAAGGAACCAACAGAGCGAGGAAGGCTGGCAACTGGTGGTTGGCAAGGCACGAGGAGAACCAGGACAGGACCAGGGAACCAGGACCGAGGAGGCAGGGACACTGGAGACAAAAAAGTAAGTAGATTTACTTAATACTAACTTACAGGCTAGAGACAACACTACCATTAGATGGTCAATGCTCCAGCGAAGAGTAACACTGGACTGCAGCCTTGTGTAGGAGATGATCCTCATCAGGTTGATGGCCAACAGCTGTTGAAAATTAGCGGCCATCTTGGACGAGGAGCTGCAGGCAGTGATACTCTTACACATTCTTTGTTAAAATCAGGTCTCTCTTGTAAATTTTTCATTCATTCAACCTTTATTTAGACAGGTTAATCCCACAGAGCCTCGAGGACTCATTTACAAGAGACCTGAATGAGTCCTCGTGACTCAACGAACCTGTATAAATAAAGGTTATACCAATATACACAAACGGCTAGAAAGCAGCCATATTTACAGATACTGAACTAAAACTTGGTGTGGTAGTGGCTGACAGTCATTTACAACACATAGTCTTAGCACTAACAAATGGAGCAACATTTTATCTTCAAACTGTGACAATAATGTTGTCCCGAGTCATTCCAGTTGACCGTCTTTGGCTTTATAACTCAGTTACTTAAAAAAAAAATCAATGGTGATCTGTAAACTAAAAGATTTGCCTCCAAACAACAAATTGTG